CAGAGACATGGCAAACGAGTATGGGGGCCTTACTTTACATCTCAGAAATCCATGTCAGTAAACCAGCAGTGGCAGAAACAGGGCTGTTTGCCACTACTGCAGCTTTTCTGTTAAACACATCTGCTCAGGCTTCCTCTGAAAAGCACTCTCTGGACTAGCAGGAGCTTTCACTGGTGAACCCTGATCCACTCCCCTTGCCATGCTGCCCTTGCAGACATGTCCCTCAATTTCCAATTAAGCCAAGCAACAACTCAAAAATCAGAAGGAAGATGCAAAATCATTATGCTAAGTATTTCCACATGGCACTTCTCCTCAAAGCTGAGAAAAAGCAGTACTGTCAGGGTTGCACTTGATCCTGTTGCATGTTGCTGTGTGTCATTCCACGCATGGTGTGGGGCTTGCACACAGCCTGGCTTCAGGCTTGTCAGTCCAGTACCATAGGCTGGGAGGTGTCCCTGTGCCTTGGGAAAAAGCAGTGAGACTGAAAAGATCGACTGGTCTTGGATTAGGCGGGTGTAACTGTATGCACCCTTCCTGCAGGAGATCTGGATGTGATATTTAGTGCTTGCCGGTGGTAGAGGAGTGGTCCTGAGCAGAAACTGGAGGCTGATCTCATCACTATTGACATCACAATTTACTTTGATGAAGCTGCATCTGATCTGCACAAGCAAGTGTTGGAAGTAAGTGGACGTCAGCACAGTTAAACCAGAACGTAGCTGCTGCAAGTAAATCAGATTCAAAGTTAATAATTTGATTTCTAGGAGACAGAGAAAAACCAGAGGGCTAATAATGTGTGAACCTAATAACTCTGTGTACTGGGACTCAGCATTTCCATCTGTTATCACTAGCTCCGATCTCAGCACAAGACGCAGAAACAGCAATTGTCCAATGAGGATGTGAACACAGGCATGGAAAGAGACAGTAGAAGACTGATGCACATGGCCACCTACGTGGCAGAGGGTAGGATCAAAGCCAGTGAGGCTTTATGTGCTGAAAATGCCGTAGAAAAGGTGTCGATATGGCAATCGGTAAGGTCCTTTGGAATGACTGCAAACTTTCCAGGTGGTTTTTAGATTTGTATTTCATTAATTCTCAAAAAAAAAAAAAAAAAAAGAAAGCAGCATGCTGTTCTAAGATAACCTACAATAACACTAAGGCTAACAGGCCTGACCATTATTTTGCAACTTATTTCTACAATCTGTTGAGGTCAGATAAGGCAGGTTTCTGGTACTTGTCGGAAACTGCTATAAATAAAAGACTAATAGGCACTGAAGTAGATAGCAGATATGTCGTGCTAGGTAAAACATGATGAACTGAAGTGAAACCTCACCTTCCTTAACAGTGGATGTGCACAAGGATAAAGACTATCAAGTATTTATTTCCTATCATCAGAAAATCCTTGCAGCAGCTCATTTTCTTTGAAAAGACTGGTCTCAGAAAGCAGCCTATTTTTTTTTTTACATTTATTGCAGAAGAAGTCCTCTGTAGTTGTCTAGGCAAGGTCAGCTGCTCATGCGCTGCAATCAATAATCTCTTCTTAAGTGTACACTGCTCAGCTCTCATGATGGGAGTTTATGGTTGCACTACATCTTTATTCTGAATGCATACTACCTTTACCGCTACTGAGCTAGGATTTAGCTATTTATTAAAGCCTGATCCTCCAGCTTTAAGAACATTTTATCGGATCACCAGGAACTTCACTGAATTGTCAGCTCAGGATCTGTCTGGAAATGCTGAGCAATAGGGGAACATGAGGGTTCATAAAACAATCTTATTTTACTTTTGGAGTTTCTTCCATAGAACGCTGGTTCAGAGGAGGACTTGGCTCCAAATGTCCATCTTTGTTTCACTGTGGAGATGCTGGTGACAAACAGAAGTATTGGTTAGCTTCAGTAAAGGTTGAGAAGTATTTGTCTCATTCCCCAGTGAAATTCCACATGTGCACAAGGCAAAGGTCCTTGCAGAGCTGGTTGCAGCCATTAATCCTGGTGCAGCCAACGACTTCCCTAGTGGCCATCCCCCAGCATGAGCTGCCAAGGTGCCTGGGATGAGCTCTATAAATTACACATTGTATATCTCCTTATTAAATAAATGTAAAAATTAAGGTTTTGTTTATTAATGTGGATCGCAGAATAGACTCTTTAGCTTAAGTGTGAGACAGGTAGGTAGCTTTTTTATTTAGCAATGCTGCCACACTAATTTTGACATTTGCAAATGTCAACATCCCAGTTACAGACTACAACAAATTGCTCAAAAATCATCTTGTTCTTTTAAAAGAATCCTTTGCACTACTGCATAAACCATCACCATATATGATGGTTAGTTTCATTAAAAATTTTGCAAGTCTGTTTTTGTACTGAATATGCCTCATAGCACAACTTAGAGCTGCCTTTGGCTTTTTGCCTAAATGTAAGCCAAAGAATCCAGTTTGCCCTGCAATTATCCTAACCTTTCCCAGGTATGCATGGCTAGCAGGGACTCCCAGTCCCCGAACAACTCCCTTTGTCCAGAGTGACTTAGAAATCCCATTGATTCAGAAAACTAAGGCTCACAAGTGCTTCCATGGTGGGAGGTATTGACCGGAAAATGCCAGGACTCCTGATTATTGGAGTAAAGTTTGTTGTTGCAGGTAACTAACAGGACACTCAGGTTTCTCTGTAAAGCTGTGTCATGTTCCTTTTCCCATATGCAATGTAAGGCAAGTAACGCTTCCCTATACCACGTAACTGCTGTAGATGGGACACTTCAGTGCTGCGTTTGCTGCTGGGTTTGAAAGGCAGCTGAGGGCTAATGGTGGGTGATTCCTGGTTTGCAGTGCTCAGCTTCAGGCATCCTGCTCCACCACAGGAGCCTGGGGAAGGGTGACTGCTTAGCACAGCTGGCAGTCTGCTGCTGGGAGAGTGAAGGATCCCTGGCTAGAGACTGTCTTCAGTGCCCTGACCCTCATCTGTTATCTGTGATAGTCCAATGCTCCTTTATCTCACAACAGCTTAATTAACTGATTAATCTTTCAAAGAATTGTGATAGTCTTAGATAAAAGACATCAGGCAAAGTATCTGTTACTAATTCCTTCACTATTGACAGTAACATTGTTATGAACTCCCAAGAACTGTCCAGGATTTTAAAACTTTGTTTAATAAGGACACTGCAAGAATTTTAGGCGTTTAACAAAAGAGTTATATGAAATTCTCACCTGTTCCTCACGTAACCATCCCTGGCACCTGTGGAGCGGAAATCCACACCTTCAGCATCACTCAGGGTCCTGGGCCAAGTCCTGTGCTGGCTGATGCTCCATGGGCCAGGTGCCCTGGTGAGCTGCAAGCCGGGACAGGGTGTGCTGCTCACCATCCCAGTTGTGAATGTATTATGTCTTTGTTTAATTAGAATTAGTGCACTGAATTTAGAGGTTTAGAGTACACACAGGGAAAAGCCTACTGTCACTTCCTTGGGTTTTGACTGCAGGAGTGTGTGTTGCAGCACATGACTCCCAGCATGTTGCTTTTGTGGCAGCTTTGTAAGCTGTGCCTCTAGGACAACTGTCATACCAGATAATGAAAATTAGGAAATGGTCATTTTCTAAACAATAATGTTTATCTTTTTGCCTTCCCCCTCCCTAGTTAATCTCCATGTAGATAGTTACCATCTCCTACCAGGCAAAATCAGAAACACCTCCACATCACAGCAGAAATTTATACAAATCCACTGTAGAGTGCACTGGTACATTTACTGCTGGCTGCCAGGTAACAGCACTAGTAAATCATCATCGTGTACCTTCATTCATGAGATTTACTGAGTTCCCTGAACTACCTGGCAGCAAAAGGCAGAACTTCACAGATAATCATGGAGAGCCCTTAACAGGGTTTGTAGCTTTATCTGTAATTGTGAGAGGGCACAATGCAGAGCACCAAAGTGGCACACACGCACACCCCTGCTCTGGGATGACAAAGCAGGAATAGACTGAAGTGGTGATCAGGAGGAGTAACAGCAGTAGGAGTGTCATTGTGAAGGTGAAAGCTGAGTGAAAATCCTTCTTCTCTGGAAGGATAATCGAATGTTAATATAAGGCAATGGGATATGGATTGGGGGCGGGGTGACAGGAATTAGGTCTTGCACTGGAGAATAAACCAGAAGTAAGTGCACGGCAGCACAGTCACCATATAGGTTGGTAGCATCTCAAGCTACATGGCAGAATTTCCATGGATTTAGGTACTGAGGTACCATGCCACTGGGGCTGGTGTTTTGACTCAGCCTCTGCACACAGCCCAGGTTAAAGCATTAGGGGGGTCTGGGTTTAACCATCACAATGCGAAAACACCATGTTGGAGAGCACTTGAAGGGAATAAAGAAACGATAAATAGCATCTGAAGACCAGGCAGCTTTGATACGGTTGGGAGGAAGGTGATCCTCCCGATTACGTTTACCCTCTGTTGTCCCGATTACGGATTTATTTGGGTGGTGTCACACTGAGACTGACCATCCTGCTGTTCCGATATCACTAAATCAAGGTGCGGACTGTGGGGGAGCAAGCAGGGCTGCAGCTCCTGGAAACCCCTCAGTGTACAGAAGGCTTCCCCACCATTCGAAGCCAACAGGCCCCCGAGCCGCAGAAGCGGTGTCCCTCAGTGCAACACCACTTCAGTCATCCGGAGGTGCACACCGCGGGCCCGACCGCCCCGCACACGCAGACCCCCACGGGCAAAGCCGGGGGTAGCCGGCGACAGGCTGGCTGACTGCGGAGAGCTTGCGGGCACACAGCAACCCGCCGAGGGAAAATGGACGCCGAGGGGTCGCCCCAGCCCCCACCCAACCTCAAGGCCCCCGCCAACCCCGCAGCCAGCCCTTTCCCTGCCGGCCCTCCCCCGGACGGCGGTGGGACTACGAGTCCCAGCGCGCCCCGGGCCGGGGGCGGAGCGGGGCTTTGTGCGGGCCGTGCCGGCCGTGGGGCGGCATGAGGGGGTGCCGTCGCCGAGCCGCAGCCGTAGCGAACCCGCCCCGGGGGGAGGGCGAGGGCGGCGAGCCATGACGGGCGGCAGCGCGGCGTTTCGCCGTCGGTGCTAGAGGGCGACCGCGGGGCGCGGAGCCCGCCTGGCTCGGCGGCGCGGAGCGCGGAGGTAGCGCGGAGGGGCCGCCGCCGCCGCCGCCGCCATGGGCAACGCGGGGAGCGTGGACTCTCAGCAGACGGAGTTCAGGGCGCACAGCGTACCTCTCAAGCTGCCCATGCCCGAGCCCGGTGAGCTGGAGGAGCGCTTCGCAGTGGTCCTGGTGAGTGCCGGTCCCATTGTCTGTGGGGAGCGGGTCGCGCCGCCTGGGAGAGGGCGCCGCGTTCTGCCGCCCGCCCGTGGGCCTCCACGGAGGGGCTGATGAAGAGTAGGGGGCCCCGCGCCTGGCCCGGGGCCGTGAGCGGGGTGCGGCTGCTGCGTGGTTGGGAGCCGGGGAAAAGTTGGAGACTGAGACGGGAACTGCCCCGCCGCGCTCTCCCCTCGGCGGCGCGGCCGCCCAGTCTCCGCCGGGGCCGGTGGCACAGGTGGGCTCTGCGGGACGGTGTCTCCCGCATCCCGCGGCCCAGCCGGAGGCGGCGGGACGGGGCCGGGGCCGCGGCGGAGGGGGGCGGGAGGGCAGCGGAGCGGGGCCAGGCGTGTGTGCCGGCTACGGCTCTTTGTCTCTGGAGCCCCCGAAGAGCCGCCTTCCCCCGAGCCGAGGCGGCTCCCACACGCCCGGGTCTGCCCCTCCTCGCGGGCGGCGAACCTGTGAGGAACCGGCGAGAGAGCAAAGCCCGCGGCGAGTTGTGGCGGTGTCGGCCCGGACCGTCGGCGGAGAGCAGCGGGCGGACAGATGCGGAGCCCGTGGTGCGGCCTCGCCTCGGCATGGCCCTTTCCAGGAGCCTGGGCTGTGAGGAGCCCGCGCCCCCCGGCCGGCTGTGGGGCGATGGGTCCCGTGGACACACTGGTCCTGCTGCCCACAAGTCCTCAGCACGTGTGTGAGGTTCACCGGGGCTGGGATGCAGGCGGTCCTGTCGTGCTCTGGTCTTCGTTCCATTCCTTTCCCTTCTCCTGAGCAGCTCGACGGACTCGGTGTTTAAGATCACAGCCACAGGAGACGTTACCAGGCAAAGACAGTGGTTCCATTGGTGTTGCATGGGAGTGTTTTGGGCAAACGTCCTGTTTTCTAGGTATCTAAGTGTTGTGAGTAGATTATCGCGACCCATCTGTTTTTCTATGTGTTTCTTACTTCTGACCAACGTTTATATGAAAAACAGAAGCTAGGTCAGGAGAGCAAATAAAACCCATGTGTATGCCGGGCCCTGCGTTGCCTCTAATGCCATGTGAAACCCAGCAAGGCGAGCTGTTGCAAGAGTAATTCCTGTATCAGATACTGGAGCAACCCCCCTGGTATTTTAAATACTCCTGGTGCTGAGTGAGGATTCACAAACTGGTGTGTGTTGGGGATTATTTCTGGTTAGACCCAATTAGATTATCATGTCTAAGAAAAGAATAAGCCTATTCAGTCAGGAACCCCCACTGATGAGCCAAATGGTGAGTGAGATGTTACGATTATTAGGCGCAGTGGAAAAAGCCTGATCCTGCCTTGCTCTCGTGGGGGAAACCTGTGATAGTTTTGCAGGTGGAAGATGCCCACACAAGCAGTGCCATGGCTCAGAATCAAGTTTTGATTCATCTAAGCCTACCAAAAGGGTGCTGGCTTAATCTGTGTGCATGGTCTGTGGGAGAAAATTAGTGGTTTTGAGTTAGGACCGATTGATGAGATCAGTACAAGGAAGAGACATCATTTGGGAAAGCACAGTGCATTAGATATGTATAACGTAAATATGGGAGATAACAGGATCATGTCTGTAATTTCTTGAGGTACTTGAGTGGATGGCATCTGTTTTTAGAAGATGGATTTAAATGAAGGGTCAGAGGATGAATGCTGTGGCTTTGCTGGAGGGGGAGGCAGGCCAGGCAGATGCATGCCTGTACCAATGGGGTGTTGGATGCTGTACTCCCATCTGGAGGAGCTGTGAGATGGGGCCGAAACACTACTGCTGGAACAGCCCAGAATTGCCTTCAGCCTGTTCTTGAAGCCAGCTGAGGATGGCTGGGGTTTGTTGCAGCTTCCAGGAAATATCTGACCAGTTTATGAAAGAATGAACTCCTAGGCTGTTATTACTTTGTTTTCTCTGTGGCTCTGAGGGGAGCATGACTGTGCCACTGGTCAAACCCCAGAATGGGGTAGGCAGTGGAAGAGTAGGGATTAATGAGAAAGGAATGATGGTCGGGGAAAAAGATGAGGAATATTTTCTGCAGGGAGAAACAATTAGTCAGGAGATGAGAGTATGAAGAAGATGTTGAAGGTTGTAGGACTAAAACTTACCTTCTTTACATGCTGCCTTAAGAAATTAGCCTGGCACAGGCATTGCTTATGCGCTTGGAGAGCCCTGTTGAGGTCCTGAAAGGCTTTGCTGACAGTAGCAATTTTTGCACCACTAATGAAGTTTTCAAGACTGTTCTTGACATTGATGAACATGCAGCTTGGTTGAGGTGCAGCTGCATGCAGGTACAGTCATCATGTAGAACGGTTTGTTTCTATGCGTAAAGAGTGGGGCTATGCGGGAAAGGTTCCTCTTGTGCAGCATCGCAAAACTGTTTTCAGGTTTTACTCTTTTCTCCTTGTGTAGAACCAGCACAGTGAGCCATAGCCCTCTTAAACACATCCATGTCCGTGAGGGGAGCACAGGTTGGCCATGTTTTTACAGCAGATGCCATGACAATTGACTTTTCTTTTTTTCACTTTGAACATACTCTCCTGATCTGCAGGATCTCTGTGGTCCCTTCAGCGAAGGGGTGGATGAGCAGCAGGAGGCATTTGTGTGGTAGCTTGCATTTGCTGGGATGTTAGCAGACTTAGTCTTGAGGAAGGTCTCTGGTGAAGTAGCTTGTCCGCTTCAAACATACATAGTCACCTTACTGCCTCCTTGGTTAGCCTCGCTCTTTGAGGTTTGAGGTGCATAAATTGCAGGAGATGATGGGAAGTGCTCCAGGTCACACTTTTTTGGTGAAGCTCTCAAATCTGACTGTGCTAATACACTCCTCCAGTCTGTAGTGGTGCTATTGGCATTACTGAGGATGCACTGAACTTGTGTATGGCAGTGCCCAGCTGGGCTTTAAGGGCAGCAATGCCAGGTCTGGCTGTGTCACACCTCTTGGCCTTCTGGACAGATGACAAGAGGATTTTCCCTGTGGATTTGTGTCGCCTGGTACTAGTTTTGGGACTGGTGCAGTGAATGTGCTGCCCTGGCTTGTTTGTTGTGTTGAGGTTTGTGCTTGTCTCTGCTAGTGAGGAACAGGGTCTGTCTGTGTGTTTCAGGAAGACATTGTATTTGATGGGATGTACTTCAAGGTGAAAATTTTTGGGGATAACCCAAGAGAGATCCAGGTTTCTGCCTGTAAGCCAAGTGTTTCTTCCATCCTCTCAAACTGATGAAAAGTCTCCTCTTTTGGTAGAATGTGTGAAACAACTCCCTTAAAGTCTACCTGAGAGTGTGAAGTTCAGGAAAGAGACGGCTTGTTATTGCCACCAAGTTCCCAATTTGCCCAGGAGGGGTGCTGGATAAGCTGAGAGTAGAATCCCAGCTGTAGCACTGACTTTGAGCTTGCCAGCACTCGGGTTCGAGCCTGCAGGAACCCCCCACCATTGCCCCTTCCCCAGCATGCTTGCTTTTCCTTCTCAGCTGTGTTGGATTCTTTTCCAGGCTTTACGTAGGGACACATGGGGGAAGAATGCGTAAATCATGAATTCTGGTAACCAACCCTGGTTTATTGCATAGGGAACCATTGCTCAGCATGCATGAGCTCCATTGCAAACCAAGTGTGCCAAATGTGTCTGTAGACATTATGGCACCCGTGCAGGGAGTCATGTGTTTGGAGATGCGGGGGTAAAATGCAGGCTTCCAGCTCCTGCAGCAGGGTGGTCTTTCTCTGAACTGGTAACAGAGTTGCACGTTTGCAGATGACACGTGGTTTGGAGGAAGCAGCCAGGAAAGAGTTGGCAGGGTAAACTGTTGCCTAATGAGCTGTGATTGACATAATTTGACTGCTGGATTACAAATCTGCAGTGAAGTTAACAGGAAATATCCTCCTACCCCCACCAAGTGCTGTTTTATTTTACAAAGGAGTCTTCTGTGCCCGGTCCTGGAGGATGGAGAGAGGCATCTGAAGTGTGAGGAGAATGTGGAGGAAAGAGGTGTTTCTGTTGCCCTGCTCCCAGCTCTGCTGTGCTCTGTCCTCAGTTTGACATAATGGTACCTACTTAGAGGCAGGACATCATCTCTGCTTCTGTTGCATTCTCATGAGGCTTTGCTCAGAGGAGCTTCTTTGTTTCACTAGAATTTCCTTCTTCATTGTAGATTTTGTCTAAGCATCATTTTCCATACCAGTCAAGGAAGTTTTAGTGTCTATTGCTGAAGAATTTGAAAGCTCACTGTGAAAACTCTGTAACATTTTCCAGCTGTTTTCCATTCGTCTTCCTAATCGTCTATCAAATACATTATGCATTGTTTTATAATATGTATGGTTTAGAGTCTGCAAATCATTAAAGAGCATGACATGACCGCAGGAGATATCTGTGAGGTAGTATTGGTTCCCTTGCTTCAGTGGAGATGCTGGAGCACTGGATTCCTTATTGTAATTCCTAAATTTAACAGAACTCTCCTGGAATGAATTTCAGTTGAGATCCTTCACTCTCCTGTCAGGGTAACTTGAATTAGTTTTGTGGAATTTTAAAGCAATGCTATGGAAGTTGGGAGACACTAAAATTAGATTTAGGAGCAATCTTCAGGAGAAGGGGGTTTCTAAAATTCAGATATTGAAAAGACCTGTTGTGTTTTCTTGTTCAGGCTTCATCTCTGACAGACTCTACCACTGGGCTCTTTCCTCAAGGTATTATTTAAATGATTCAATCAGTGACACCCTTTGCTTGAGAAACAATCTAATAAAGCACATTGTTTTGTGTATATATATTTCTAAAGAGTTAAACTTAGAGAAGTGTTACTTGGTGGTGACCTATCTTGTCAAGCTGCTTTGTAAATCAGTAGATGGCATTTTTAAGTTTTTCCACCTACCATCACAGGAGAATTTTTTTGTCAAACTGTTTTTTTTTCTGAATGGAATATGAGGGTACTGTAGTGGGTATTTAGCTACTAGCAAGTTAGTCACATTCCTAAAATTAATTTCAGATCCTGGAAACCTGGAAGACTTAAAAAAATA